TAATTACACGAAAGTTTAATTCACCTTAGCAATTCACCTCGACGTTCTAACGTTGCTCTAGCAAATTAATATTTTTTGTGTAAATTATTTTTGCAAGGAACAAAGTTCATGAAAACTGTTCTTTTCTATCATCTCTGAATGAAAGGATATGATCGAATGGTTTTCAGTACGATACAATTTAATCAATTTTGATTTTCGTAAAAATTCAGATTGTTTGATGGTGGTTCGCTAAGCTGAAGCAGTTCACTAATCAGATTAGTCTTATTATTAATATTGCACAGTGAATCTGATGGTGATAAGTTGGTGTCATTTCGGGGTACATTGCATAGTTATAAATCAAGTCTTACTTATTTAAGACGATCTCTTTAAACCAGCGTTTTCCTCTAGCTAAAAATGTAAACACACATTTTGGAACATTGTCATTATTTTACCGAAAATATATGTTCTGCAGTATCGAAAGTTAAATGATCGGTTTCGAATTTGAATCAGTTAAAACACCCTGTACAGAAGTTTTTGTTTGTAACTTCAAGCTCGCTCGAAATCCTAGCTAGATGCGAACAAAGCTGGCTTGGGAAACTTCTGCATATTAAATTAATGTTCGTCGGAATATATTATTAGCCGGGGAATTTAGTCTTCACTAATGTGAGTTTTGGGTGCGCGTTATTTGTGGACGTGCTATTTACACGGGGATTTTCAATCTTTCATATGAATAACAATGGAGCTGCGGATAATAAAGATGGAATATGGCTTCAACTCTGGTTAAGTAAATTAAAGTTGAAATGATCCAGCTGCCAGCCGGGCGACTACAAACTTATAAACAATTAATATTTTACAAAATCAAAATGAAGGTGTGGAATTAAAGTTTTATACCGATAGTATTGTTATTGTTAAAATAACGCCTAACAATGCTAGTGTCTTCCTCTGTAAATGTTTGTGATAGTAATTTCGTTTGACTTAAATTTTAGCACCGACACAGCAAAAATAAAAAAAAATTAAATATCAATTACAATTATACTTATGTATCGAACGAACATAATATGCAGATTTTAATAGAAGTAAATCTCCGTTAAGGGTTAAAGTCTGCAGTTTGCTTAAAGCTCTTATGCGATGTCTTATAATTAGTGTAATTTTTAGATTTTGTACACGACTTCTCGATAAACAAGAACTTGCTTGTTGTAAAGGCTTATTTGAGTCTGATAATTTGTGAGGATCTTTTAAATAAAACCAGTTCTTGAATCATATAAACAGCTACTCGGGGATAGGATGACTTTACCTACATATTTTAAAACATTTGTATATGTCAATTTTCTTTAACTTCTTTCACTTTTACATGGCAATATGCACATTAGGCACATTTTTAAGTACGTTTAAAACGCAAATTCCCGATATTTTGTCAGTACTGAAAACAATTATAAAATTTGCTAGCCATTTTTTCATTGCATTTACGACTGATACTGTTCTTATAATTCACTTTAGGAATGACCAGTAATTAGGATAAAATTGTTTCCTGAGGGCCTATTTTCGAAATCTGTATTCTTTTAAAGTTTCAAAGGTTCGCGACATCAATCGCAAATTGTGTTGTCTTGAATTTAGTTAAATAGTTATAATTATCTATTGCTTATTTTCTATCAAAACTGGTTTTGGAACCTCAACCGGATTTCCATTGATGAATGTCTCATTATTATTTTCTTTGACGTCCAACTTTGTTAATCTTTGCAAAATATTACTTCTAATGATACGTAGCACATTTACTGTTGTCGCATGTGAGTTCGTTGTTTTCGTTACCTTCATTTAAATCTTTTCGGAAACTTTTCATACTTTTCGTTTATATCGACTCATCTTTTCACATTATTAGAATGTAAATTCTAACTGCTGGAACATTTGGTGTGTAATTTAGTTAATACTAACAATGGAACAAGTTGATCGGAAGTGCTTCAAATAGCACACTTTAGCAAAAGTTTCAAATAAAATTAGTGGCTTTCATATTCATCAAGTTTCGTTAGTTCTACTAGTGTCGCTTGCTGAAATAAAAAAAAAACTGGATTGCACTCTTATTTAGAGAATCTATATAATTAGAAGCGTTTCAGAGTTTTATCTAGGCAATATAGACGACTAGCTAACTTTATTACCGTATTGGCCACATTTTGTTTTGTTTTATCGTTTTCTGCCGTGGTAATCCATCTTCAAATCCTAATTTTAATACAAACCGCAATGATCTTGCGAGACGCTGGCAAGACTATTGCAAAAATATTGGTCTTGCATGCCAGTCTTGGTTTTGGTGTTGCAAACCAAAAGCAGTTTTGGTCTCAGTCTCGCTCATCACTATTGCTTTGCAGATAAAATTATCTGAAAATAATTCTGTTGTCTGTTAAATAATGAAAAATCAATCTATTGGCTTCATTTTCCGAAAAACAATCGATACATTTAGCCCAATATTTAATTACCAACGTTAAGTTACCTATTATATCCGGTATTAACGTTTTATTAGGCTGCCCGTAACTCTAGAAAAGCCATCATGGCGTTATTTATGTCCCCTCGATATATTTTCCATTTTAATGGATACAAACCCATTAAAATTATGTTTTGCCTGGATTGGATATAGCGCCATTTTGCCAAATATTTATGAGCGGGTTATGACCTTATAATAATAAAGATTATGAAAGTGCCATATTATGGTTTTTACGCCACGCTCGACATATTGTTGTACTTGGGATTTTATTTAATAACAATTTTTATATGGAATGTGTTAGGGCTCCAGTTGTTTGTTATATCAGTTTGAAGTATTATGTTAAACTGGTGAGGATTATATAAAACAGGTGCATAACACATGGAGACATTGCAGCTGTAGGGCCTACATTCAAATTATAATCAGGTACTACAGTTTACTGCAACCACATGCTTTCAGAGAAATTTTGAAAGTTTATCTTAAGTAAATTTGCTGAGCAACCAAGATTAGTTTCAAGTATTATTTATAATTTAATCATTTTTATTTGGTGGATAATATTTCTAAACATGTTACATTTGTCGATATTCTTTTTGGCGTTCGACTAAGTTTCAAGCATAATACATTCAGTAATTTTTTTCATTGTTTTTATGAAAGTCCTATTTTATTAGTTCTAGTCTGTAACGTTCTGGTAAATTATTTTTTTGTTTAAGGGAAGGGGACACTTGTATATATGTTTTACATCTGACGGACTTTGTCAAATCAGTTTCTGTAGTGCAAAACAAAGTTTGGCCGCAATCGTACACGATTTTTCGAATTTTGATTATTCCGCCTTATTATCTTTATTCATTTGTAGGAATGTAACTTATTGGGATAAAAATTGGATTATTCTGTGTTTAGCATTAATGTCATGATTCAAAAACAGTTCTGTAACTAACTCATTCATCCGAACAGCATTTCAAGCACATAGTAGGACTAACATATTTTAAATCAAATAATAATACTCTTTCTATTAGCCGTGTAGCAATATGGGCAATAGCATTTACTTTATTGCTCGAATTCATTAATGATAAATTATAGTGTTAAATTAAAATTGCATTAATAAATGACATAAATTATTCTTAACTTTCCGCACAATGGCCAGATAAAATTACACTATAACTTTACTACGTGTAAAATTCCTTCCGTACATGCAAAATAGCTAATTTACTAATATGTATATACATCAACAATAATTGGCATTTCAAATGTCTGAATTCATTCATCATTCAAGTTCGCTTTTCCATAAATAGTAATAATTAAACCTTCTCTATCGTTGTTGACTTATGAATTTCATTATTGTTATAATTTCGAAAAAAATTGATATGTGGCTGAAATAATTATAAATCAATTTTTTCAAAACGCGTTTATTAATATCGAAATTAGTATTTCCTTTAGAAAGGTTTTTTCTGTGTATTGCGGTTGGCGTAATTTAATTTAGAAGTACAGAAAAAAAGGTTGAAAATTTTTTTTTGCCATTAAAGACTAAGCTATTTGCCAGAAATTGTATCAGAAGGAAAGCAGCAATGTTTTTCAAAATTATCTGCCTAATTAGCATTACGTAAATACCTGTTGCTTCGTAATTATTAAAAAATTCGGTAACCATAGAGAAATTGCGAGTAACAATAAAATAGACAAGGAGAAACGGTAAATTCAACATGATTCATAGAATGTGGGAACGTACTTTTTCGAAATGTCACTATTGTCAACGAGAAATTGTTTTTTATTGTCCTCATCATTTAGAATTGATGTGTATACAAAGAGAGAAGAAGAACTAAGAAGAAGAAGTGTATACAAATAAAAATATACTTCCAAACAAGTTAATGCATACTTCTCGTATTCGGTGAATTAATTGCTGCTCACTTTCTACCGGTGTTTATTAAACCATGATTTGATGTGTCCTAGTGTTTGTCCTGTGTGTTCCTTACTTGCGTGATAGGATTGTAGCCCTTCCTCCTTATTTATTTAATGCATGGGAAAGTGTCAGTTCTTCTGCATTTCTCTGATAAGACCTGTTCCTCTGTGTCTGTAATCCGTCGTCCACTATCCTTCTAGAGCCAATTTTCCCGTGTCCCTAACCCATTGTTCGCTTGTTCTTATAGCTTCTGCTATGTTACTGTTGCATTCTCCCATAACTAATTGCAGACGCATATTCGATATTAGTGAACATTTTGTGAAAGAAGTTATGTACCTCTAGCTGTTATTTTTGGCAAAAGCTATGCACCTATAACTACCTGAGAATGACAAAAACATCATTACCGCTCTGACTTTTTGTCAAAAAATTGTGGCAGAGAACTTCCTCATTATCAAAAATTTTCGTAAATTGAAGCATAGATCGTACTTTTTCTTTTCGAATGTTCAGATCTTTTCAGAACTTTTAATATCTTCAAGAAGTTTTCAAAAAAAAATATTGTGAGCTCCCATTATCCCTTAAATGTAATAAGGACAATTTTTAAGCACCCTGTATAAATTATATTTTTCCACTTTGCAATTGTTATGTTAAATTAAAACAAAGGGATTTGCTGAAAAAAAAGATTCATTTCTCATGATTTCTATAATAAAGACCATGGATCGTATGGTCCTAAATTATATTTAATGATGTCAACAGCTTGCTAAAACAATCTAAGCTCTCAATGTAGTAGTCGGGTCTATTCTCATCAACGTGTTTCCAGTTAACTAGATCATCTAGCTTAGTCTGGCCGCTCAAAACCAGTAAACTTTGAAATCCAGCTCTATTTGCAAAAGTTATATCTGATGTCAACCTGTAAATGTAAACCACCGTGTTAATAACACGTTTGCGTTCTGCGCAATTATAATTTAACTTGGGAACAGAGATTTGCTGGGGCGAAGGATCTGCGCTTTTTGCATCAATTCTTTCGATTGTCAAATAGGTTTTAAATAGAGTTTTTTACCTTTATGCATAGAGGATAGAGTGTTTTACGTTTTATGTATATTGTTAAATACCAGAGAAGTCGCCGGTTGTACACAATTTGAACGTAAGTGTTTACTTAAAGATGAACTACTTTTCAGTTTTCTAATTTATTTTATACTCACGAATCACCTATGAACAGCACTCTTTGCGGATTAGAGATTTCAAATCGTTTCTGCAAATAATGCTTGAGTTCGATGCTCGGTTTTGCCAAAATCGTGCAGTCCCTTTTGGTTATCATTTCTATAGCGTTCACATAAAACTTATTCCCTGCAAATATCGATGTTGTTATTAATCAAAACCATTGAGCAAACTACACTAGTTAATTAGTAATTTAATATTAAGCTGGTTACCAATAAATTCTATATCTTTTGTTAGTGGCCCACTTTCGTCAGTAGCCGCAACCAAGAACGGCATTGTGGGATTCCGAGTCAGTAATAAAATCGCTGCCTCAGCTTGTATTAATCGAAAGTTTACATCGAGATCCATAACTACGGCTCCCACACTTTTCGACTTTTCCAGAAATTCTAAGCACGTATCTCTCAAAAATTCCATATTTTCTTTCAAATCGCCACTCTGGAAAATACGAAAAATAAATACATGTTTGGACGTACCGGGTGTTAATTTGAAAACTTCCCACCCTTAATATTGTAACGGAAATGGCCTGGGGTACTTACGTTTGGAATGGGGGATCGAAATTCGTGGTATTTCATTTCAATAAATGGGAGCCCCATTTGGGCCCCATTTACTGTCAAATATGACACTGACAAGCGGGAAATTTCTCACCTGGACTGGAGATTTCGAGAACCTTCTGGGTTACCTGGAGGAAACTATATAAGCGACGACGAGAACCAGACAGAGGGAGTGAAATGACAGCAGCGTCCGAGTGCAGAAAAGGTTAAACTCCGGGAGTCGGAAGAGCGAGTTCTCCGCCTGTTATTGTTATTGTTTGTGAAGTTGACGGTAATTTTGAAGTTAGTTTGTTCCTGTTCCGTAGTTAAAGTTGTACCGAGTGAATAAAAGTTGGAAGCTGAAGAAAGAGTTAGATACTCGGCCATCCACGGTACATTTGGTGTCAGAAGTGGGATTTACCAGAACCCAAGTTGAATTTTGATGGAAACAAGAAGTAAATCAAAGAAGGAAGACCCTGCAATGGAGAACCCCAGTTTGATTGCATTGCTCATGCAGATGAGCGACAAAATGGAAGACAACAGTAGGAAAATGGAAGACAACAGTAGGAAAATGGA